CGCGGCGCGCACGCCGCCCATGGGCTGGCTGCACTGGGAGCGCTTCCTGTGCGCCACCGACTGCGCCGCCGAGCCGCGCCGCTGCGTCAGGTACCGCCCGGCCCCGGCGGGGACACCGGCACCGCCGGCGGGTGTTGCCATGGAGACTGGAACCGGCCCGGGGCGRGGGGGTTACCATGGAGACCGGTGGGGGAGTGTGTGTTACCAGAGCCTGGCAACGGGGAGGGGGGTGTTACCATGGAGACCGGCCGCGGAGACCCTGAGATCAGCAGCGGTGGGGAGTGTTGCCATGGAGACCGGTTACGGGTGGGGGGAGTGCGTTGCCATGGAGACTGGCAACGGGGAGTGGGTGTTACCATGGAGATCTGGGGAGTGCTCGTTACCATAGAGCCTGGCAACAAGGGGAGTGTTACCATGGAGATCGGCCGAGGGTACCCCGGGAACAGCCCAGCGGGAGGAGAGGGGATTGTCACCACAGAGACTGACCTGACACTGATGTGGGCTGTTACCATAGAGACCAGCAATGTGTGTGTGGGGTGGTGTTACCATGGAAACTGGTGCAGGGGAAGTGGTGGTGTTACCATGGAGACTAGCTGGGGGACCTGGGACCAGCACCATTGGATGGGGGGGTGTTACCATGGAGACCTATATGGGCAAGGGGAGGGTGTTGTTACCCCAGGGATGGGCATGGACCCGGGTGCTGCTTTGGGTTCCGGCATCGGTACCGGCAGGTGGCCGGGCCCGCGTCCCTGTTACGGTCCCGTCCGCGCTGCCACGGCCCCTTGTTGTGCTCCCCGCGCGGCGCCCAGCGAGCGGCTGTTCATGGAGATGGCTGACGCGATGGCCGCGGACGGCTGGCGCGACGTGGGCTACGAGTACGTCTGCATCGACGACTGCTGGATGGCGCCGACGCGGGACGCCTGCGGCCGCCTCCAGCCCGACCCCACGCGCTTCCCGGGCGGCATCCGCAAGCTGGCCGACTACGTGAGTGCCCTGTCCCATACRGCGACACGGGAAGCCGGGCCCGCCGAGCTAGGGGTGTGTGTGGGAGCGGGGAACCCGCGCCTGGCCTTGTCCGTAAGGATCGACAGTCCATAAGGATTGTCTAAATCAGCGCTCGGGTTAATGCGACCTCCCTTGTGGAAGGAAAGTTTGGTCCTCGTTGTCACACAGCTTTGAACCGTGGATCGTCAGGGTGCTGGCAGCAGAGAGGGATGTGATGATCAGCTGCACTGCTCTCACCCCAGGGAGCAGGGCAGGGSAGGGMAGGCTGTGTGGGAGGCAGCTGCGTGTCCCCTGAGTTACACCCTGCTTCCCAAATTGTCCCAACCCGCCTTCTTCCAGCCTTGTTCACTGCCCATTTCTCTTTCTACCCGCAAGCTCAGGTCCACTCCAAAGGGCTGAAGCTGGGAATCTACAGCGATGTCGGGAACAGGACGTGCGCCGGCTTCCCCGGCAGCTACAACCACTACGAGCTGGATGCCCAGACCTTCGCGTCCTGGGGCGTGGACCTGCTCAAGTTTGACGGCTGCAACTCTGGCACGCTGGAGCTGCTGGCAGAAGGTACGTCCTGACTGCAGAGCGGGCCGTGTCGCAAGCTGGGAACATTCTGCAGTCAGCAGGAACTCCAGCAAGGGGCAGGTTCCAGAAAGCTGCTTTTCCCTGACTCTGCCATTAAGATATTTGCTTATAAAAGCAGTTACAAGGTTGTGTTCCCGACCTCAAGGTAGTTCTCTCCAAGGYAGCAACTATTTCTAGCCCGAGTGGCTTCTATCTACGCACTCAGCTTTCCCCCGCCTGCCTCCCGGAGCTTTCCCCTTGCATGTTTGGCTTCAAAAAGCGGCCTCGTCCCCCCAGAGGCTGCAGCACGCTGAGAAAAGGAACACACCGTGCACTCCGGGGGATCTCCGTGCGCGCTGCTGCATCAGCTCTTAACACAGCAAAGGCTTTGCCCTTCCAGAGTGCCTTTGCTGGAGAACTCAGAGCACTTCACACAGTTAACCCTTAATCCCCTTGGTGAAGCAGTGTCACAGCGGATCAGCTTTCAGCCAAAGCAGCTTGAATCAGCCACAAAAAGGACAGTTATCAGGGCTCGTAACAGACAGAAGTCAAGACAATTCTGGCATGAAAAATCTACCAGGATTTTTATTTTAAAGCGTGCCAGTGCAAATGCCAATTCAGAACTTATTTGCACACAGGCTGGCAAAATCAGGAGCTGAAAACTCAGTAACTTGCTGTTCTGGGGGGCTCCGGCTCCAGATGCTCCCTGTTAAGTGCCAGCAACCCACCGTGGGTTGTGGGAGGAATCTTGCACCCAGGATACGGTTTTCTCCTCGCTGGGCTTCCCTGCTGGCACCGACCACACCACAGGGCTTGGCAGCAGGGAACCTGCACACACGGTCCTGCCTCTGGCAGAGGGAACCTGCCCAAGTGACGGTGCCATCCAAGCCAGTCGGCCTGGCAGGCGCTGGCTGCCGTGGCCAGGAGCGCAGCTCAGACAGCCCCCGAAGCGACAGCTGAGCTCAAGGCTCTTGGTCGAGCGTAACTGGGAGCCAGATAAAGTCCAGTCATATCAAAGCGGTTTGAGGAGAGAGAGCAGAGTCTTCATTCTCTCTGTGCTGATTAAAAGGGACTTAACAGGGCTCTCTGGGGACAAGGACAGGCTAAAGCCATCGCTTTTGCATTCCTGCCCAGTCCATATGGCACAAATGTCTCACGCATAAGGACATATGTCTGCAACGTTAGCCACCAAAGCCGGACCCAGCAGCTTAATAAATACCAACTTGTATTTGACAGGTATCTAGAGGCAAAAACCACCAGGCAGCAGAACTGCAGCCTCAACCCGCAGCAGCGTGTGCGGGGAGATCAGCAGTCCCAGAGCAGCAGCGCTGCCCGTGACCTGCAGCGAGGCCGTACAGCAGCTCGCTTTACTCCACAGGCAGGAGCCTGGCTGCAGATCACAGCCTCCCCGCTCTTCTTTATGCTTTTTCAGCTTCAGTTTTGCAAAAGTGGAACTCAAACCCAAACCTGTGATGCTGGATCAGTTCCCTCTTCTCTGCCCAAGCAAACCATGTAACCCCTGCGTGTTCTGTTCCTTTAGGCTACCGAAACATGTCCCTGGCCCTGAACAGGACTGGAAGAAGCATCGTGTACTCCTGTGAGTGGCCCTTCTACCTGAGGCCYACGCAGCAGGTAAGCAGGGCCCCACAGGGCTCATCCTGGCCCTAGCCGTGCTCCAAGCGGGAAGAACACTTCAAAGCAAAGCACTAAAATTGCAAAATAGCCTCTTTAGATTTTTTTTTTTTTTTTTGCTGCTCTTCAGTCTGCCCACAGAGGTGAGTGCAAGGTGAAGGAAAACCGCACTTTTCCTCCGGAGTCCCGAGGCAGCCTCAAAGCTGAGCTAGCGCTTTGCTGCAAAGGAGGGAGCTCCCCAGGGCTTCAGCAGGATCTCCAGCCCAGCTGGAGCTGCTGGAGCACCGCAGCGTCCATCTGCTCTGCTCTCCCAGGACCTGAGCACCAACACACACCAGCTCGCTGGTGACTCAGGGTTATTCCTGCAGGACGCTCCGTTGTGCGGAGTGCTGCAGACCCAGAGTGCGGTGTATTAAACACCCCGAACAGGGCGTATAGGGGAGTTCTCCCTATCATTTACTGACAAACGTCGGTCAGAAGGGGCCACGATTGACATGCTGCTCCCCACCCATGGCTGGTGTCCCCGTGCTGCCACACAGGATGCAGCCATCCCCTCCCACAGACACTTACTAATCAGGGCAGRGTGTCCACCCAAGAAATGACAGTAATTACTAGGACTCAGTTATCTCAGTTTCAGCCCACTCGTCCCATTAGATGTTCAGTTAAATAGGGCCCAGGAAGATTTGCTGGCAGGTTGGTGCTCACAGCTGTTCTCCCAGGGATAGCATTGTCTGGAGCGTGACAAGAGCGGAGTCATTCAGAGCAGAAGGGGTTTTARGGAAGCAAGATGCACTGGATCATCCAGAGAGCTGCTGGCAGGATGGACCGGCCCCGTTTTCCCCACAATATCCCTCATCTGGCCCAGCTTTGCACGCAGTCTTCTGGCACAGCCAAGCTCTCTGGCTAAGCACACTAATTGTTTTGGCAGCCCAATTACACGGAGATCAAGCAGTACTGCAACCACTGGAGGAACTTTTTTGATATCTCTGATTCTTGGAGCAGCATCAAGAGCATCTTGGACTGGACAGCCATCCACCAGGACAGCATCGTGAAGATAGCAGGACCAGGGGGCTGGAACGACCCTGACATGGCAAGTACTGCAGCACCCATCTTCATCCAGCTGGGATGGGGAGAAGGAGCCTCAGAGGTGGCACAGGGAGAGCAAAGGCTCTGATGGGGTCCTGGGAGCAAGGACGTTGTGTGGGGAGCCTTGCCTGGGAACATGCGGCTCTAGCACCCCCTAAGCACTCAGCTCTGGGATACRGTTCCCGTGGCACTGAGGAAGTCTCAAACACACCCAGCCCTGGGAGCAACCTTCACATCTACCATGAGATAAGGATCCTTCTCGGCTGCCACCATGGGTTCATCCTAAATTGCCCCGAGTCACCTGCCCCACCTTTCCCAACCAGCTGGTCTCGGTGACAGAGCACGGCCTCCCTAATGAGGCCCCAGAGTAATTGGGGTCCCACCCTCATCCCACCCCTTCCCGGTGCTCACCTGGGCGGCTCAGTTCCTCCCGGGCAGACGGCGTCAGCAGCGTTCCCATGTCCCTACAGCTAGTGATCGGAAACTTTGGGCTGAGCTGGGAGCAGGCGGTGACGCAGATGGCCATGTGGGCCATCATGGCAGCTCCCCTCTTCATGTCCAACGACCTGCGGGACATCAGCGCCGAGGCCAAGGGCCTCCTCCAGAACAAGGAGGTCATTGCCATCAACCAGGACCCGCTGGGCAAGCAGGGCTACCGCATCACCAAGGTACAGCGGGGCCTGGCRCTACGGGCGCTGTCTGGGCCACAGAGGGGGCACCTCCTCAGGGAGGGGACACTGGGGACAAAGGGGGTACACAGAGACCCCAGGGTTTGGGAGCACAGTGAGCCCATGTGTTCCCAGAGGCTGCTTAAGCAGAGAGGCATGAAGAGCACTGATTCCATCTCCCCCATCACAAGCCCTGGATTTTTCTTCTTCTTCTTGGCAGGACGACAACTTTGAGCTGTGGGAGCGGCCGCTGTCGGGCAGAGCCCACGCGGTGGCCGTGCTGAACCGCCAGGAAATCGGGGGCCCCCGGAACTTCACCTTCTCSCTCGCCTTCCTCGGCAACGGGCTGGCCTGCAACCCCATGTGCTCCGTCCAGCAGGTCCTGCCGGCCAGCAGGGACTGGGGTCTTCACAACTGGGTGTCCTCCCTGAGCGTGGAGGTGAACCCCACGGGCACCGCGCTGCTCAAAGTGGTGGCCTTATAGGAGGCACAGAGCCGACCCCCTGGACGGTGTCTCTAGAGCCCGTCCCAGGAAGCGCGTCCCCCGCCATGGAGCGGGGTGGCCTTGTCCTCCCCACAGGCTGCGCCCTCCGAGCACTTCCATGCGCACCCCAAAGCTTCCGCCTCGCACACCAAAGACCCAAAGAGGAGATGACAGAGAAGGGGATGCTGCTTCTCTTCCCTTTACCCTTCCTCTCGCATCTCCCCTACCCCCTTTTCCTAAGGGGCTGCAAGGGCAGCGGCCSCTTCGTTAATAACCAGTGCCACTAAACCAGGGAGGTGCCAAGTGCAGCCTCCTGCAGCTCTTCCCAAGCCTCGCGGGACACTTCAGGAGACACCCCCGCTGCCTCACCCCGGCTTCGCCAGGCCGGGTGATAGTTCTGCTCCCTGCAGGAAAGAGTTTCCCTCCTGGAGAAACCCACCAGCACAACTGCCTTCTTGCCAGCTCTCTGCTGAGCATGAACRTGGCCAAAGTACCATGCCTGAGAACAGAGCTTCAGGCATTCCTCCTCCTCACAGAATTCCTGCCCTTGGGAATGGCTTGTCRCTCGCTTTTGGGCAAGATATCCCCTCCCTATGCTTCCTGTGGCCATGGAGGGCACCTCCCTTAGCRAACTGCCTTCCAGGAACGTCTCTGCCTTCCAGGACTGGAAGGAACCTCGAGCTAAAGTTACACGGGTCCTTAGTCACACAAACAGCAGGTACAAAGGGCTTCTCTTCTGTCTGCGACACAATCAGGGTATGTTGGTTTGTCCTTTTGATTTAAATACTTGAATTAAAACGCCCCTGGAAAGGGCTAAGCTTTCTTCACCRTGCTAGGAGTACAGCCTGGTATTTGAAACAAAGCCTGGTTTTAGAAACAAGACCACTTGTTTGCAAGGATGCTGTGCAGGTTTGGAAGGGCCTCTCTGGAGGACAGCCTGCAGCCACCAACATCCCCAACACGAGGCTCGCCCAGAGRAACTACTGCACAAGGGAGCTGAGAGCCTCCCAGGCCACATTTCCTGTACAAGATCTCTCAGAAATGCAGCAAGGAGGTCGGTTCCAGTGCCGGACTTCTCTAAACCCCACCATAAAGAGTCAAGGCCACAAACTATCTGTCTGTTACATAGATTTACAAAAACTCTTCCCATTGAGCTGATGCACTTGCAAGTCCCATCCCCACAAGAAGAGATGCACACAGAAAAAAGGTACTTTACCAAATACTTTAATATAGAGTCCATAGCAGTGGGCAAGGCAGAGCCTAGAACTGGATCACCTGGCCCTGTAGGGAGGAAGGCGGAGTGAGYAACTTCATGGCTGAACCTCCCCTCTCCTGAGGCACCATCAGCTCAGAGCCTTGTTGTGTCAGCCACACTTTGCCTCAGCCACCCCAACAACACGCAGACTGACCCCACTCAGCTCAACAAAGCCTCTTTCACCCAGGATTTTGGGGTGCTCAGCAGCTCCCTGCGCGGGTGGCAGCCCCTCTGCCCCACACGCAGCTGCGCTCGTCACCACCCAAAGACCCCCTCTGCGAAGGGCTCTGGCRCGCAGACCTACCTTCCTCTTCTTGTCCCCTCCCAGCTCAAAGTGCTTGCACCTCTTAATGGCCAGCATGCGCTTGGACCTGCAGTTGGGCTCCACGCACTCCAGCCGCAGCACGATCTTCTTGGTGGTCTTAGCCTGGCAGSGGGAGCAGAGGCAGATCAGGGAGACCAATAATCAGGGGGAGCAAAGCGCTGGGACGGAGCAGCAGCCCGGAGCACCATGGATAAACCTCCCTCCCTTGGCTTCCTTGCAGCCTTGTCACGGCCTCRTTGCACTGAAAGCCTTGCAGGCTTCATAAGTGTTGAGGATAAACAACCAATACCTCAAAAATTGTAATTAAGTAGTGGGCTTTTCCCCCTTCAGAGCCTTCTTCCCCTCCGACAAGCAGCGATGGCGACATCGCTGCCGGTAAAGCAGCTTTCCCCGAACCGCAGCTGCCGCGGAGCAGTCCCTGCACGGGCTGCCGCGCGGGAACCCGGGGGCCCGGCCCGCACGCACCTTCTTGCGGAAGATGGGCTTGGTCTGCCCGCCGTAGCCGCTCTGCTTCCTGTCGTAGCGCCTCTTCCCTGCGGGGGGAAGCGGCCGTGGGTGCCCGCGCCGCCCGGCCCCGGCCCGGCCCCGGCCCCGGCCCGGCCCCGGCCCCGGCCCGGCCCCGGCCCCGGCCCGGCCCCGGCCCCGGCCCGGCCCCGGCCCCGGCCCGGCCCCGCGCCTACCCTGCGCGTACAGCGAGTCCTTGCCCTTCTTGTACTGCGTCACCTTGTGCGGCTGGTGCTTGCCGCACTTCTTGCAGTACGTGCGCCGCGTCTTGGGCACGTTCACCTGCAACGGGGGCACCGCTCAGCAACGGGGCCGCCACCGGCGGCCACCCSCACCCGCCCCGGCCCATCGGAGCTCCCTGCCGCCGCCATCCGCGGCCCATCCGGCGGCGCCGCGGACCCTCGCGGCGGACGGGCCCGCGGGAGGGCGCAGCGTACTGCCCCTGGCGCGGATGGCGGCGGATGGAGCCCGGGCCGCAGCGCCTGCACTCACCATCTTGGCGGCGGCTAGTAGAGAAAGAGCAAGGCGGAAGCGGAAGGGGATGGGAGCGGATGAACCATAGAGAGGACGGAGGACCGTCCGCATGGGGCAGCGCTACCCGCCGGCGGCCCCTGGCGGCGGGCGGGGGCGCAGCGCGGGGATGGGGCTCGGGGGCGACACAGGGATTATAGGGGGTGGGGGGTATAGGGCTATAGGGGGTGGGGAGCTGGGCAGGTTTGGGGGTATAGGGGTATAGGGGCTGGGGGCTTGCGGGGAGTATGGTGGTATAGGGGCTGGGGGCCTGGGGAAGAGGGTTATGGTGCCTGGGGCTTGTAGGGAGTCGGGGGGTTAGGGGCTGGGGGTCGGAGCAGGGGGTACAGGGTTACAGTGGTCTGGGGAGCGCTAGGGACAGGGGTATGGAGGGTATGGGCCTGGGGCACGGGGAGGGGGGAATAACATGAGAGGGTGTAGAGATGGGGGAATGGGGCTTATGGGGTAGGGAGGCATTTAGGGGTGTGGGAGTAGGGGCGCAAGATGTTTAGGGGTGCGGGAGTGGGGGGTCCTGGCTGGGGGTAAGGAGAACAGAGGGGGGCCAAGGGGAAGGGGGTGCAGGGCTGGAGCGGGTGGATGCGCAGGGGGAGCAGGAGGAGGTGCAGCGTGCGGGGAGGTGTGTGCGGCTGTGCGGGAACGGCTGTGCGGGTGTGCGAGTACAGGGTTCCCGGTGTGCGGGTGTGGGTGTGCAGGGACATAAGTGGTGTGCCAGGATGCAGGTGTGCAGGGACATGTGCAGGTGTGCAGGGATGCGGGTGTGCAGGGACGTGTGTGGATGTGCCAGGATGCAGGTGTGCAGGGATGAGAGTGTGCCAGGATGCGGGTGTGCTGGATCCAGATGTGCTGCATATGGATGTGCTGGATTTGGCTGTGCTGGATCCAGGTGTGCCGGTTGGGGGCTGCGCAGGGCTGGGCTCGCCCCCCTGCTCGTTCCTCTCGCTGCTCCGCTCGGCACCGGCTCCGCCCGCGCGGGTGGCACCGGGCCGGGCCGGGCCGGGACGGCGGGGGGCACTGTGGAGGTGGCCCGGGCGCCTCCAGGAGGAAACGCGGCCGCTGCTTTGAGTCAGAAGCAGAAAAAGGGGAACCGAAAGGGTGGGCTGGGCCGGGCGCTCCTTCCTGGGGCGCGGGGTGCGCGGGCCGCGCGGCGCGGGGGGCGCCCGGCACCGGTGAGCGGGGCACGGGGGGGGCGGCCGCTCGCGGGGACCCCCGGGGGACCGAGTGTCCCTGCGGGGCAGGAGCTGCAGGGCCCCGAGGTGGGCAGGGAGGGAGGGAGGGGGACGTGAGGTCGTGGGCGGCGAGCGGGGCCTGGGGTGTCCGTGTGGCCCCCGGGGGGGCCGTTATGGCCGGTGAAGCTCCCGCTGCGGCCGGGGCGGCCCCTCGCACGGCCTGGCCTCGCCAGCAGCCTCGCGGTGCCAAGCCAGCAGTGAGATGAGTTGGGCGGCCTCAGCTCCGCATCCGGGTGCGAGCGGCCTCGGGGGCACTGTGGACAGAGGGGATGAGGGCCTGGCGCTGCACCGAGTGGGGATCGGGGTGCTCTGTGGGTGCTGGGGACACAGAGGCTGCACTGGAGCGAGGAATCAGGGTGCTCTGTGGGTGCTGGTGACTGAGGGCTGCAGTGGAGCAGGGGGTCGGGGTGCTCTATGGGTGCTGGGTACCCTGGGGCTGCAGCAGAACAGGAATTGGGGTGCTCCGTGGGTGCTGGGACATAGAGGCTACACTGGAGCAGGGATCAGGGTGCTCTGTGGGTGCTGGGGCTGCAGCCAGGACCCTGGGCAGGACCGTCACCCCGGGGTACCCGGTGTCCAAGCTCTGGCCCTGGGGACCGTGCAGGGTGATGGAGCAGCCCTGGGTGGCTCCAAGCCCCCCGGGGGCGCGGGATGTCCCTTCTCCCCCTGCCACGTGCCGCTGGCCTCATCGCCCCGGGGGCTCCTCCACGGGTGCCCGYAGCCGAGCGGGCCCCGCGCTGGCCGAGGGTGTCTGTGTGCGGGGGGAGCTCGTTGTGCTGTGGCCGAGGTGTGACAGGCAGGAAGTCACATTCGCCGGGGCGGGAGGGGACGGGWCGGACACTTCCACCCACCCGCTTGTCACCGCGGCCGTCACAGCGAGCGGCGATGGCTGATGGCGGCAGTGAGTCCCGAGGGGCCGCGGGGACAGAGCGAGGAGAGGAGCAGGAAGGGACATCTGGGGAGGGACGTGGGACGAGCCGCGACGGGGACAGGGTGGCCGTTTGGGGCCAGGGCGGCTCTTTTGGGGCCAKAGCGGCTCTTTTGGGGCCGGAGCAGCCGTCCGACCTCACCATCCTTCCCTCCGCGGTGGCAGAGGACGCGGCGCAGACGTGCCCCACGTGCCCCTCGCTGCTGACCGTGGCGCAGCTGCTGCGACTCAAGGTGAACAGGCGCGAGGGGCCGCCGAGGCGCCGGGAATAGCTGGGATCCCCCTGGGACTTGGTCCCCGGGGTCCCGTGCAGAGCGGGGCTGAGCGGGCGCCGCGCGGGTGTCGCAGCCGGGTGGCGAGGACAGCGCCGACGTGGGCGCCATGGCCGGCGTCATCCTGGAGAGCATCTTCCTGAAGCGCTCGCAGCAGAAGAAGAAGACGTCGCCCCTCAACTTCAAGAAGCGCCTCTTCCTGCTCACCGAGAGCAAGCTCTCCTACTACGAGTACGACTTCGAGCGCGGGGTGAGCAGCGCGGCGGGCGCGCGGGGGGCCCGTGTCCCTGTCCCGGTGGTGGCCCCGACGCCGGCCGTCTTCCCGCAGCGCCGGGGCAGCAAGAAGGGCTCGGTGGACGTCGAGAAGATCACGTGCGTGGAGACCGTGGTGCCCGAGCACAACCCGCCGCCCGAGCGGCAGGTCCCGGTGAGGGGGCTCCCCGTGTCCCCGTGCCCATGCCGGGCGCCCGTGGGTCCCCAGCGTGGCCCATCTGCGCCTCTCTGTCCGCTGCAGAGGAAAGGGGAGGATTACGGCAACGTGGAGCAGATGTTCATCATCGAGCGCTTCCCCTACCCCTTCCAGGTGAGTCCCGCAGGATGCGGCCGCCGCGGTGCCCCCGGCGTGCCGAAACTCGCAGAAGGAAGCGGAAAGTCCCYGGGGAAGGGGGCTTATTTACACCGTGCCCGTCACGGGCGGGCGGGCGCGGGGCTGAGCCGCTGGCCCGCAGGTGGTGTACGACGAGGGGCCCCTCTACGTCTTCTCGCCCACCGAGGAGCTGCGCAAGCGCTGGATCCAGCAGCTCCGCAGCGGTGAGTGGCGGCGCGTGCCGGCGGAAGGAGCGCGCGCCGAGAAGGGGGAAGTGGCCGAGGGCGTCGAGGGAGAGGGGGGGCGGCCGCCCCCGGCGCCCCGCGCGCGCCCGGCTCTCACGGCGCTGCCGTGCCGCCRCAGTGACCCGCTACAACAGCGACCTGGTGCAGAAGTACCACCCCTGCTTCTGGCTGGACGGGCAGTACCTGTGCTGCTCGCAGACCGCCAAGAACGCGCTGGGCTGCAAGCTGCTGGAGAGCCGCAACGGCAGTAAGGGCGCGCGCCCGCCCGCGCCAGCCGCATCCCCTTCATCCCCCTTCATCCCCTTCATCCCCTTCATCCCCTTCTCTCCACGGCGGCAGGTTTAAAGGCCGGGCGGTCGCATCGCAAGACCAAGAAGCCGCTGCCCCCGACGCCCGAGGAGGAGCAGGCGGGAGCCGCGGCTGCGCCCACGATGCCGACGTGCCCGGTGAGCGCCCGGCGTTGGCTCCGGGCTTTGAGAGGACAAGCGGCTGGAAGCGGCGGGTGGAGGAGGGAGAGGTGGCTCCGAGCCCCGTGTCTCGGTCCTTGCGGTTCCCTGGGGGAAGAGGGGCAGGCCCTGATATGGGCTGGAGTCACGAGAGGAGCCGYGAGGGCCGGGGACAACGTTTATCTGCAGCGAGGAGCCGTCCCCGAGGAGGAAACGCAGCAATAAAACGTGGCAATAAAACACCCGGGGCTTTATCAGCCTGGGACCGATAACCCGGGCGGAAACGCGCGTGGGGAGCRGAGGGGCGGCCGAGGCTCTGGTGTCACCGCATCCCCCTGTCCCCGGCGCCAAAGCTGGCGCCCAAGGCCCTGCCYGCGGGCGAGCTGAGGAAGGTGGTGGCCATGTACGACTACGAGCCCATGACGGCGCAGGACCTGCGGCTGCGCAAGGGCCAGGAGTACCTGCTGCTGGAGGAGAGCCACCTGCCCTGGTGGAAGGCGCGCGACAGGAGCGGGTAAGAGCCCCGCTCCTCCATCA